GTAACCTTCGATCGTAAGTATGGCGAAGCAAACTGATGCACGTGCACGTTTGTCGCATCGTCAGACACCTGCGAATCCGAAGAAGTGGCTTTCAATGGGTATTGAACGTAGACGGTGACTCGTCGCGGCTAAAAAGAATGAAGAACTTCCCTGTCTTGCATGTAAGCCAAGGCTCCAGTGGTCAACGAAAAACAGATGTTGACCGTAAAGGATCCTCGTTCAATTTTCGCAAAAGATTTATTTCTTTGGTGTTAGTTTCTTGTCTCCTACGATTATCTCCATTTGGGACCGTTGTAGATAAAGATGGGACGTAATCTGAGGCCCTTCATTGCTTCTTAACTGTGTCTGAATTCTCATTCATCGGGTCTCATTACGTCTACTGCGATTCTCTCGCTGTGTAAATTGTTTTATAAAGTATCACATTACTGATCGTTTTACCAAATGTAACAAACTCGTACAAATGATTTATCATTCCCTATCGTTTCAATGCCGAAGCTATTACGATAAAACAAAGTATCATCGAACTTGTTATTCCCAGGTGCTGCACACAATGAACTTGATCCCATCGGTGGTACGATAAAAAAAGGCCATAGTCCGTGGTGGAGTCAAGGTACGGCGGACCATACATACCTAGTGGTACATACCGGGAGATCGTTCCTTCCAGTCATCCTTAGCCTCCGAACATGGCAATCCTTGCATGATTAATCGAACAGGCCAAGTTTGGCTATCCGCGTAACAGCGGTAGAACAACGAGAGGAAACAAAGAGAATAACTGCGAGTGAATCGAGAAAAGCCGAACGGCGAATTCCCTGAGCGCGCATTAAATTACCTCGTGTCGAAATGGTTATCATATAACATTATCTCCTGGACCGGTTGAATGTTCACCAGGAATGTCCGAGGATTGAAATACAAGGGAGTAGGGAATCGTAATTCATCACGCGGACTCGGTAACCGCGTAATGAAATTAATATAAAGCCGCGTAACGGATGTCTGATCGTATCGAGCACGACCGCGTAATTAATTACGCATCGATATCGATTATAACCGGATGATACGGGTATTCTTATAATTGGATTTCAATTGAATCGGCGATTGAAACGCGCTCGGTTGTTCTTCGGTTACCGCCACGATTATCATCGTTACGTCACGAACGTAGTCTCTGGCCTCAAATTTAAATCGGCGTGATCGTTCTCTCTGTCGCGAAACGACCAAGGACGGTTTCGATACACTCGATCGAATTCGATCCGCTCGTTTCTACGTCCGATTTCCCTTTCAGCTGAACCGATATTCTGTAACGCGACCGAACGCGGTTCGATCTTGAAAGCGTCGCGATTCCCCGCGCACGCTTTTCGGCTGTAAATCACCGAGGGTACAAAAAATTGCACGCTCATGTTAATGTCCGGTGATTGCGGCGCGCTCGTAAAAATGTCGTCTCGCACGCCGCTGGCGCTCCGACACTCGCGAACGATCCTTTCGGCGCGGCGTGCACGTGACACGCCCGCTCGAGCTTTAAACCAGTTTATAAATTGTCGGTTTCTTTTCTCACCTATCTCGCTGCTCGATCGCCGAGATTAACTCTTCGCGGGCAGAAAAAATAGAAACCCCGTACCATCACAATTCCAAGGTTTAAAAATAGTCTGCTCCATTTGCAATAAGGAAGAGGATACGATAAACTGGTAAAATAAAAAAATTATTGGTTTTACGATTGCACGATATAAGTTGCTTTCATACATTGATACGAGCTTTCGTACAAGATCGTAACTTTACGGAACTCGAGCTCGTCCTCGGCTGGGATTTTTCCCGGCGACGCGACGATGCGATGCGGAAAGTGGGCGTCTCGTCTACGATAGGTGGGATCGCGGGACGGCAATGAGCTTAACAATGGCATTGCGGTACGCTGCTCGAATTTAATTTGAAAGCAGCGAGGCCCTATTGTACGGGTACGTGTACGTACACGCGTATAAATAGACGCGGTCGGTGCGCGTGCCCACGCGCCAGGCTTTGTGCCACTGTACGTCCCCCGTGTCTCCGCCGTCGAATTTACATTTACAACCGCGCGTGCAGTTTAGAAAGAAAAAACGCGTATAAATTCTCGTTAAAAGCGGACTTAACAGTAAACATAATAGGTTCTTGTATTTTAGAGTACGTAGTATAAAAAGAGTAACAGGAAACTGAGTTCCCTGAATGCACGAAACTGTTCACTTTGCACCCGTACGAGAGCAACATTTTTTAATTTTTCTATCATGCACTGTGCGGGAAAGAATGCAAATTTTTTACCAAGGAAATTTCTAAATTTTTTTAGTGTAAATATTTGTAGACTACAAATCGCCAGTGATCAATGAACCGTGATTTTAGCAAAATATAACTGTACGCATCTGCATTCGTTGATCATAATTCTGTGCCAATTTCCGACGCGATAATGATGTAATGGAATGACAAGAGGACGAGAGACGGTTTCGGGGCCGGCATTGTCGTTCAGGAACCGTTTTATTGCCGTTTGTGCCAGTCCAGAAGGCGAGGACATTGTTCGACCCGCTCTGGGAGTCTCTCATGATTGTCGCGCTTTCCATTCTCGTAATAGGTATAGTGGCCCGTATTCAAATAACGTCGGTACACGTTAACGCATCGCGATTGTTGGGCAATCGGTAAAAAAAAAGAGGAAGCTAACCGCGTTCCACTATCAGACTTTTTCCAGATTCTGTCGATCCTTAATCGTTAATAGCAGAAATGTTTGTGTGTATCGCCGTGTTTGGTCAATGATTATTTATATCCCTATCAAATTGTCATTTCGTACCAGAATTATTATTTATTATGCACGGTACGATGCGATTGTCCAAATATCAACAGAAACTCTTGGTCATAGCTGCTTAGCTATAAATCGGGACTCGTTATCGATCGGGAGCATTAATTGTAAAGAAACCCGCCTATGTAAATTAGTAGCCGCGGGCAAAAAAAGTGGAGCGGTGAATTATTACACAGATAGGGGAGACGCGGCCGCGAGAGGAACCGCTAATGGCGTGCGTCGCGGATCGATCGGCAAAAGGAAGAGAACGGTGGAGAGAAGAACGAGCGAAGGAGAGATACCAACAGGTATGTGTATTGGTTTCGCGCGACCGTTTAACGGTCTCGTCGGTCTATTTCGATCGGCGCGGTCCCGGCAACAAAAATGGAGGCGCCTCGGCCTCGCCTGTTATCAATTAACTGTTAACGTAGCTGCACCCTCGGTGCACCGTAAGTGGCTGCGTGCACTATCGAATGGCGGTGGCCTGTTCGCTATGAATAATGTATCTCGGGTTCGGGGAATTCGTGGCATTTAATCATTGGATCGTTAAGAGCGGACGTACGACGACGACTCGTTGCAGATTTATGCGGCACCCACGAATATTCCTGCATCGTCATGAGAATCTTCCGCCTCCTCCGATTCGTACGACACTAGCAGTAAATGTCGCGTCACTCCGCGTGATACAACGATAACGTTATCGAAAGGTCCTGCGATGTGCATACAATGAGTAAAAGCGAACCGAGACAAGTACTTTTCAAAATAGTTTTTTATTTTTCAAGGATACGATGTTCTAATGAGTGCATAAATTCTCACATTTTTACTAAACGTTCATTAGTTGCGTCTACCGGTAAGTACCAGCAAGAAACATCGTTGAACGATTTCGTTCGCGTTATTAAACCGGTCGATACACGAAGTACTTATTTTTTTGAGGATATTATAATCGGTGAAAGAATAGGAAGAACATTCCGATGGACAATAAACGATTCACTGAATTATTGACGTAGCTATTAATTATCGAGAAATGAATTTCATTGCGAATATTTTTTACTCGTAAAGCTGTTAGGTTCGATCGCGGATTAATGGCGCCCTGTTTACAACAAAAAGTATATAGTTTGATAAGTAAACGAGTACGGCTTCGATCGACCGAGATAGCTATAAAATTAGAAAATCGTGACAAATTTTCCTGTTGACTCCGAACTGATCTTTGTACCTACGACGGTAGGCATTATATAATCCATGTTACGATTAAATGACCAGCTTATAAGCAAAATATTCATAGTTTGCAAGCGGACTGAGAAATTGCCAATTTAATATGACTTTAATTCATCTGTTTGCAATTGAGATTATAGAAGTTGCGTCAGCAAATGTTCCTCTTCGATGTTTCATGAGATTATCCATGCTAGGTTGAGATGGGCGCAGCCTTGCAACAGTGCAGTGGTCAGAAGGCGCGCGCGTAAATTTATGAACGAGGAAACACCGAGGGGATCCGGCGACCGTAGGGAACATAGCTCTCGCGGTGTCTCGTTGGGTTGAGCGGCAGAACGAAACGTTCGGTGATATAAGGACGAGAGGCGTGGGCGACGCTTACTTTTGCCAGGCGGAATCGCGACGGAACTGGTTCCGAGCGAATTAGACGAGAGGCTGGCTCATGCGTTACGGAAAACGATCTATGGATCTATTCGTTATCCGCTACTTTTATCTGTCCGACGCGAAACGACCGACTTATATTCTTGCCGCTATAAATTTTCACTTCGCCAAGATTTAAATCCCGGCTCAATTTCCCTCTTTGTTGACGATCTCAAACCGTTGGATTTAATTTTGCTGGAAGCTGAGAAGATCTATCGGCTCTTAATCTTTCGCTCTACTGTTCTTATTAATACAGGGACTAGATTTTATTTAATCCATGACAAAACAAAGTTCAATGAAATGTGCGACAACGGCTACATTTATTTTCCTCGCAAAATGTATTTTTAGTACGATTGCAGTTTTACATTAAGGTGCAGGAGTATGAGTCGTCGACGAGGACAGGTCAGTAGCCAGAGGAAACGTCTCAATCAATTTGAGGGCAGGCTGGCGCGGTTTTCTTCGCGGTCGGTTAGATTCACACGGGGAACGCGCAGGTTCATAAATATTCAGAGGCGCCGCGGTGAGGCAAGCCGAGAGCCCTTGCAACGGCACCGCGCGGAAACGGGCAAAAAGGAAAAATAAATCGATTTACCTTATGCGTCATTCCACGACCTTGAAGCCGGGGTGGTGAAGCTGCCGCTGCTGGTGGCTGTCACTTCCGGTGAACGGTTTCTCACTTTCCGTTGCGTTTCTTTTCGTTTTCCGTTGAAACCCGTTTCTCTTTATCTATTTTTTATTACTATTTTGCTTCACCGTTCGACGAGTTCACTACTCGGGGGAGGGAGAGAGAAAGAGAGAGAAAGAGAGAAAAAGAAAACGAAAGTCAGTCAGGAAGAGAAGAAGAGGTAGAAAAGAGCAAAGGAAAAGGAAAAGTAGGAGGCACTCCGGTTTTTCAACAACAGCACACTAATCCTCGTGTACACACTCGGGCACTCTTCTTCTTCTTCTTCTCGTTCGATCCACCGGATCGTGTTCTACGTGTATCCAGATCGAAACGTCCGATCATGCATCCCGATGATGTTCGACTCCTCGCGATGGGATCCCCTCGTGGCGGCACAGCGACCACGTGTTCGCGACGCACACGCTTTTGAAACACGCTTTCGGTCAGGGAAGGTGCTCGTCACGCGGCAACTATCCTCCCCCGTGTCATCGACTACAGCGAAGCGTATACGCGCGTTAACGATTCTAATTGCTCTTCCTGTTTGACTAGACGTCGTCACTAGAGCTACGCGACGATGGATCTTCACCGATACACGTGCTCCACACCGAGCGTGCGTCCGCCGCGTTTATCCTTTATCCTCGCGGGTGACGAAGGGTGGCGCGTGGTGGGCGTCGATCGATCTCGTGGATCGTGTCGACAGGACAGCCGAGTCCTGACTGTGCTCGTTTCCCTGGCTCGTAGCACCGAGGAACGGAAGGAGTCAAAGCACGTTGCTCAGCACCGTCCGGCGATCGTTTGGTTGCTCCTTGTCCAGATCCTCTCTCGAGGCGTGTGATATCCCCCCCGTCAGGTCGCCTCGTGGACGAAGCGGAATATCAGCGAAGGAGATTCGTGAGACGCGACTCGCTGCGAACCGTGGTACTCGCCGAGGCGGGTAACGGAGAGGAAACCGTGCGCCGTGTGGCGTGGTTCGGCGAGGCGCGGCAAGGCGAGGCGAGGAGTAACAGGAGAGAAGAGAAGAGAGGCTGTGTGTACCGTGTACTACTCGGTGGTGAGTAAGCCGAGCGAAGCGGAGCCGAGCTGCGTCGCGGCGAGCAGAGACGGGAGAACGCGAGCGGAGCGCGGCGTGGTCGCGATCGGCGAGCAGGGACGGTGAAACGGAGCAGTCGGGGGAGAAAAAGGTGATCTGGCCGAGGGAAAGAGACGAAAGTAGACCGAGAAAGCGAGATGAGCCGGCGTTCAGAGAAAGAGGGAAGAACGCGGCGGTGAGCGCGAGAAGAACACGGCCGCGCACACAGCGAAGAAGGATCCCGCGGCGGATTGGGCGGGGAGACTGAACCCGTAGGTTGGTAAGTAAGTAGGTAGGTAGGTAGGTAGGTGAACCACGAGGAACACACCGGTACGGTGGACCTTCGTTCGTTTGCGACGTTGGGTAGTCTGGGTGGATCGCGTCGGTGCGCTCTCGAGGATAGCTCCCCTGCGCTGCGTGTTAACCGTGAGAGACGTCGGGAAGGTAAGTGTTCTGCTCTCTCGCAGCTCGCAGCGGCGAGCCGAGCCGGAGTAGCACCACGCCGGCACGCGACCTGCCCTCTCCCACCCCTCTCGTCGTTCACTCGTCTCGCGATCTTGCTCCCACCCTCCAGCCTCTTCTTCCTTTTCCCATAGCAGCTCTCCTTCTAACGCTCGAGATCGTTTCCTCTGCCAGGTTCCTCCTCGACGTTCTCCTTCCCTCTCCTCGGCCGCCGGGAACGCGAATTATCTACAAGAGCGAGGAAGAGAACGCTTTCCTAGGTCTAGACCGGTGGTGTTGGTGCACCACTCCTACCCGTGCCCATCCAGCGTGGACACCGACACATCGGAATCCTCCCACCAACCCTGAGACCCTGGAGGAAGATGGAGAGAGAACAGCCGGGTGTAACGCTCGCTATCTCCTCGCTCTGTCGTTAATCGCGGTGTAACCTCTCGGCCGACTAATTCACCTTTGCAACTGTACCGACACCCCACCGAGACTTGTCCCCTGCTTGAATCGCTTCTTACTCGTTTTTCTCTCTCACCAGTTTTCCGGATAGATGAGTACGATTATTTATCGACAAGTACTCTCCGTTAAATGACTTCCAGAATTCTCGATCACTTTGCTCTTTCATTTCAATTTAGATAAATTACCTTTAATTGCTGTTTTTCTTTAATCAAGAGGCATAAGAAATGACATCAGATTCTTATCTTCCTAACGGCTACTCCCGTTTCATTTCATGTTTCCGGGCCATCCCACTACGTTCCCTCGACTGGCTCGGCTCTCCACGATGACGATCCGATTGTCCTAGGACCGGGCCAATTCCTTACTGTCCCGTTCATGGTCCCCTACCATCACCCATCAAGACACTGATTCCTTTCGGTTCCAGTCCGAGTACCAGCTTACGAAAAGCCCTTGCCTTAATTATCGGCACATTCTTCTTCCGAGAAAGGATGAATCAACTTTCAATCTCTATTCCATTTTTCAAGTAACAGTTCTCGTTGATCCACTTTTATTTCTTGCCAGACCAGTGGACCCTAATTTAAGGTAGCAGGAAGTCAGACCGTAACGAGCTTACGGGATTTCGTTGCGGTCGTTGTTCAGCCGTGAAATTTCCAGAACTGAAGTCGGAGCTTGTTTCTATTCGTCAAGTCGAGGCCGGAGAGGCTCGGGCCCGATTCGGACAGGTACGAGAGACGTCCGATTAATTAGCAAAGCCGCAAAGGCGGCGGATCGGCGCATCGCGCGAATTACTCATCCCTCTGGCGTCGCCATATTTGGCGGAAACTTGATCCAACTTCTGGCTTTCTGGGTCAATCTCTGGTTAGCTCCTTAGCTTTAGGTTGCTCCGAGAAACTAAGCGCGAGACGGGTAAATCGAGGAGGCAATGTAGCAAGCGAGTAAGTAGATATACACGTATACACGCCTCGAGACCTTAGATCATCGGATCCTCGTGGATCTCCTCGCTCCGCCTTGTTGCGCAACGATCACCGCCGACGGTGATCTCGAGCACAACAGTCCTGACACAGTTACCTGGTCAGAGCGTTACGGAATGAAAAAGAAAACCAGAAAGAAAGAAAGATACAGGGAGAAATGCGAGCCATTCTCGAGGGCCCTTCCCCCTGCCGAGCGCCGTTTCACGATTTTTTTGCAACCTTTCCAAAAGACAGTTCCTGTATTATGTATCCCCCTTCCGAACGATTTCTTCACCGTGATTTCTAATTGACGATCAGACCAATCAGTTTTACGATTCTCACAATTTCGTATTTACTTTTTGCCCACACTACCTTTCGTTCAGTTACAGTTGTTAAGATTTCCTCTTTAAGATCTTAATGTACTCGATCCAAACCAATAGCAAATAAAGTCAATTGCATACTAAAACATATTTATTTCGATCCCCTGGCTATAAAAGATCGTTGCCTTAACTGTAGGAGGTACATGTACGTTATTATAGCAATTTTCATGATTTTTCATCAACAGACAAGGAAGGGCGCGGAACCGGCGTGTTGGTGTCAATCAAAGATCATCGATCGTGATATTTCAGGCTGACAAAGGTGGGTCGCGACGGATTCTTCCCTCTCGCATTCTATTCTGGTACGATGACACTTCCCGCGGGGTTGACGCGAGCGGGACACGGGACACACGCGTGCACGCGCGGTGAGAACCCATCATTAGACGCCTACGCGCGCGAAAACGCTGATGTCGAAGGGGCCCACGACGGGAACGAAGAGATGTCTCTCCGGAAATTAATCTGTTCGATTAATTCGCATGATATTAAGAAATGAACAACAGTTTATTTAATCAATATTAATCCCTATCAATTTTCATAAAAATCGTAGCAAATTTTGTATAAACATGTCAACAGAATCTTTTGAAATACTAGTTGCAAAATAGCAGTTTGCATCTGCAAACTAAGAATGTAATACGATTTCGTATTACTTCAAAGTTTCTAAGAACGACCCGCATATTTCTGAATAATTGAAGAAAGATAGCCCAGTTTGTATCTGGAGTGTATCGCGATTTGAATACGAATCGCGGAATTAGATTTAAATTCAGCGAACCCAGGCAACTTTCTCCCACCGGGTGAATCCTTACCGGTTGCGCTCGCCGAGCACCAAGTAGGGTAAAAACACCCCGCAGCGTCGACCAACGTTACGAATTCTAATAGAACTCCTAGTTGGTTCGCAAGGTGTCGAATAGTACATTCGCCTAAAAAGTTGCATTGCACTTTCATTTATTTTAATGTCTCTTCAATTTTATAACATAGTTTGTATCAATTTTATTTGACATGAATTGATATCATGCATACAAATATCGATACATTTGTTTTAGTCAAGTTTGTATCAATTTAATTGTGGAATATTAAAATATTAAAGGCAATTGATCTACTTTCTTGGTGGACTGTACTGATACGATCGTGACGTCGAGGACTGAAATACTGAAATCAACAGGTTATTGGCAATCGATGTGATCCTCTTTATAGTCGATCGACGAATCCCGCCCGCGGTGTTGTTGCACTTTTCTTTCCGTGGCACCTTGCAACAAACTGGGTCGCTCTAAATCTTCCTTTAACGGCTCACAGAGTTAGTTAACCCGATCCGGCGCCAGTTCTGGGACTTGGGGCTGTTTCGCAGATCCTACGGGTCGTTGCGAACAAGCCGCCTCGCCTTTTCGACGAGAGTTCGAGGAAAAGTCGAGACTGGACAATTTAGTAAGCTAATTTACTAGAGAACGTTGATTTTCACGTTTGAAATAGTAGTAGATTTTAGTGCTTGCACAATTTCAATGTTATTTTTTAATGAGGAGTACAACTAAAAGATCTAAGATACTCTATGAGATATTGAACAAGACAGCTTGTCTATTACTGGTATCATTAGAAGACGATTAATATATGTCTCTAATCATAAAACTCTCTAATTAATACGAAATCTTTGCACTGCACGGGAACAAACATTTTATGTGAATATAAGCTGATTCTTTGGAAAAAAATTAGTAAGAATCACGAGGTCGTCGTTGACGGAAGGGGCGACGTATCGTCCGAAGTCGATTGGTCACCGGGACGTTGGATTCGCTGTGGGAGGAGCTGCTTACACTTTATTCAACGTACGTGCACACCCGTTCCGCGCATGCATGCATGCATACACGCGTACCTGGACATAATGCGATGCCTACGTAGCTGTCAGCAAGATGAACATCTACCAACCGCGTCGTCGTACACCTCGCGAAGGAAGCGCGTGCTCCCGCTAGCACGCGTGCACACGCGCATCGAAAACGTTCCTCGATAGCGATCTCCCCGGCCCCAGAGAATAAATGAAACGCTCTCGCTCGTTACTCGTTTTGTAACTTGCGGACACTTTTTTATCGTCGGCCGGTTTTTTCATACCGCAGTGATTTATTAAGATGCTCGTACATAAACAGTGCGGATATCAATTAAGATATACACGTTTTTACGTTACATTCGATTAGGAGATACCATCGCACGCAAAAAATAGTGAGAGAGCAAAACAAAAATTAATTACTTATACGCTCAGTGACCTGATTCTTGCATTCTCAGGAACTAAATTTTTTTTCCTTTTTAGTGTAATATTATGTATTGAATGACCTGATGATTTTCTAACCAGAAGTAAACGTAACTTTTCTGGAGGATATTAAATTTACATAAAAATTGTTTGTATATGAGTTAAATGTGTACAGTAATGAACGAAGAGCGTGTTCCCGTACTTTTGGTGGCGGAATGATAGATCAAGCGGCTCGATACAGATCTCGCCGCCTGGAAAGGGTCCGGAACTCGGTGCGCGCGCCGGCAACCTTTCTCTCGTTCTCCACGACGATATTTCAATGTAACGCTTGATACCTTATCAATTA